TTTTTGGTCACTTCATAATTCCAGTCGTGTGATTTCATAGCTTTGATGTATTTACTATTATTCTACAATACGGAAAATAGTAAAAACAAAGAATAAAAGTTGTGTTCAAACTTTTGACTGGTGTACTGTAAGTGAACACTGAATGTTGTGAAACTCCAGCACAAACTTGTTCAATATGGGGGAGACTCACCTGGCTCTCCAGGCACATCTGTCCTGTGACCGTGGCAGCGACACGCTCCTGCTGCTGTTTCTGTGCCTTCAGGTTGCTCTCCTGTGACTGCAGAGAGCTCTCCAGCTGCACTAGCTCCTCCTGCAGGACAAAACGCGTACCACACCAAGTAAAACCACAGACACGTGGGTACCAACTTTAATGGATACAAGTTGCTCTGGATAAAATGAATGTAATGTAATGTAATATCATCTCAAAGAGTGCGGGGATATGACTGGGAAAGGGGGAGGAGGCGGGGTGAAAGGCACAGATGGATAGGGGGAAGGGAAAGGGAGTGGGGTAAGAGGTGAGAGGAAGAAAGGGAAACAGCTGGGATCAGGCATGGCAATGGAAGGAGTGCGAGAAAGGACGAGAATGAGTGATGGCTGTGGGGCACAGAACTTGCCAGGAGTTCTATAACGTCATGTAATGTACGACTCTGATGAAGCTTAACAGGTGCGGCAGCAGCTTAGCTTACCACGTCGATGTGGGCCCAGTCGTTGGCAGCGGGAGCAGGGGAGGGCTCCCGGGGGGGCTCTTGGGGGGGCTGGATGTCCTGCTGCTTCTCACCATCTGGAGAGGGAGGCCCGTAACATGAGGACTCCGATGGGGGATCTCCCCCCTCTCCCTCCACTCCTACAGGGGCCTTCTCTGTCCAGTTTTCTTCTTCCATCTTTAAGGGTTGATCATCTGGCTCCACCTCCTCCTCCTCTTCCTCTTCCTCTTCCTCAGACACCTCGATGAAGCTCTCTGTGGGAACATGAAGAGCACCGTTCCATCACTGCGGCACATGCAGCAGGACAGAACACATAGGACACACTAGCAGATGGGACAGAAATGAATTCCGAAGCACACACAGCAGTATTGAACATGAGCACACAGGACAGAAGTGAACATTACAGCACTCAAGACAGAATCAAACTCTGAAGCACACACAGCAGCAATAAACACTAGTACATGGGACAGAAACAATGTCTGAAGCCCACACAACAGTGCTGAATACTAGCACATAGACCAGGAATGAACACTGTAGCACACACGCTACTACTGAACACTAGCACACAGTGCACTAACTGTAACAGAACAGGTGTGCTACAACGCTAGTGGACCTACCTTGTGAGTCACTATCTTCACTCTCCCCTTCCTCCACACTCTGTCTGACCCCCTGCTCACTTTCCTCTGAATTTTGGGCAGGCAGTGGGGTGACAGATCTCAGAGGTCTTTCCTCTTGGGCATCTTCAGAGGTACTTCCTGTCTTGGTGGTCACTTCCTGTTGACTGGGTGGACAAATATGTACAGCAGCTGCAGGTTGAGACTCTTCCCAGTTGCTGTCTCCATTCAGAGCCTCTCCCTGTATAGAGTTCAGCTGGTTCAGTGGTTTCTCCAGGGAGACATCTGAAGAGCTGGAATCAGAGAGCTCTGCAACTTCGAGAGTGTGGGGAATAAGGCGCCCGTCCTGCTTGCTGTCTACACCCTCCATCAGCTCCGCACTCTCCCTTGGACCCTCACTCTCCCTCTGTTCTGTGCTCTGCCTCAGTCCCTCACTCTCCCTATGTCCCTCGCTCTCCTCCTGCCCTATTCTCTCCTTCAGTCCCATGCTGTCAAACTGTACGGTGGAGCTGAAGGCCCTGTTTCTTTTTTCGGTGGCCTCCTCCACCTCCTCCTCAGAGCTGCTGATAATGACGCAGCCTCCGACGGGTGAGGCGTCCCGGGGTAACTCTGCACGCTGAGGGGGGGCTGTGTGGCCGTCCGTTAGGGCACTCTGGATGGCCAGCAGGGTGCGTGGGGAAGGTGGCCCTGTGACCTGCTGGTTCTCCGGTTCCCGGCTTCTGACTTCACCGTCCTCATCTGAGCTGCTGTCCATCATGGCTGCCTGGATGGCCTGCAGTGTCCGGGGGGAGGGAGGTGCCCCGGCTGTATCGTCCCTGCCAGGCGGTGAGGGTGGCTCCTCCTCAGGGCTGTCCTCTGACACAGGTCGCCACAGTGGCTCCGGTCTCTTCCTCACCCCTCTGGTGCTGCTGGCCCAGGGCAGTACAGCTGGCTGCTTCTCTACAGCTTGCTCACTCTTCTTAGACCCTGGAGAGACAATAAAATTCACATCACACAACAGCCCTACAGTATCTTATTTCATCAAATTCCACTGTGTGTGAAACTGGCCGTGTCTTCTGCCAACAATGTCAAACTTTGCTCCACTGAGGATAGGGGTGGGCACATAGGCCAAGGTCCCCTCATTGCACTGATTCTGTTCAGTGTCTGCCTTCTGGTGCACTGTGGAACTTGCAGAGTGGGAAGCAGTCGCAGTAGGCATGAGTCTACGCATGACTGGTGACTACAAAAGTTGGGTGAACAAGGAGGAAAATGCAAAACTACCAACAACTCATTCACCTGTGTACTCTCACCTTTTACAAGGATGTAGTAAGTACGTACCTTCATTAGCGTGTTTGCATACGACTGCCATGATTGCATCCTTTATGGGGATGTCATGTATGCATTGTGTGTCCCTTTGTGTGCGTTTTGTGCGGTCCTACATTTAATGCAGATGTAGTTTGCGCACTGTGTGTATCTTTGCTTGTGCGTAGTGTGGGTTTTCTGTGGTTCTACCTTTAATGAGCATGTGCATTGTTTATACCTTTGGTTTGTGTTTGTGTGTGTTTTGTGTGGTCGTACCTTTGATGAGGATGTAGTGAGAGGTGTCCTCAGACACGAGACGCTGGGTCTCCACACTGCGCCCCTCCCCTTCCTCTCCCCTGTACTGCTCCACCACCGCCCCAGAGCTCCTCTGGTTCATCTCCCGCTCCACACCCTCGATGCGGTGGTTCAGCTTGTTCCGCTGCAGCAGGCCCGCCAGCTGGTACTGAGAGAAGTCCCCTGATCTCTGGGAGGAGGAGGACATGCATGCCCCCACAGACACACACACATCCTTTAGAGTTTGAACATAGTTTCTTTGTTTTGAAACACATGATAGTTTACACAGGAGTTCAAGATGGTAAAAAGAGAGAGCAAACTCTAAGTCTGATCTGGAGAGATTTCCTCTGTGTGTGTGTGTGTGTGTGTGTGTGTGTGAATTACCTCAGGAGGCTTCTCAAACATGGTGCGGCGTCTCTTGCTAAACTCTTTCATGTCCTTCAGGATCTCATGTTTCATTTCTGCAGGTAAGACGGCGAATTCCTCTGAGTCGATGTCCATAGCGTTAGGGTTCTCAAACATTATCTCCTGCAGGACATGAAGAGAAATGCCACTTTCACTGAACAACCAAAGACTCAGTAAAACGAAAAAACTAAGACCGATACATTTATAAAGTGAACTAGACAGAACATCTGATGCACTTATTCATTGTGAAACATTGCTGTTTCTGCTCATCAGAGCATCAGTGCCCCTTTCAGATGTGCCTTTATCCAAAATGTTCCTCAGACACACCGTTGTGTGACACCTGCTTCCAACATGCCCCCACCTGAAACATATATTGCCTCTGCTCTGTCTGCTCCCATTCTTTCTCCTCCTCCTCCTCATCAGAGCTGTGGGAACAACACAGGGATCAGCTGCAAAGTAAGACTCAGAACAAACTGCGATAAGCAGAAAGAGGTAAAATTGCACAGAGCATACCCAGAATCAGGCAATGCCAACATGATAGACAGACAAGAATAAAATCTTACTCTATTATAAATACAGCTTTGCCCTACAACTAGGCTAATAGCTTCTCTCTCCGACATGTTTTTGCACAATGAATTGTATGGACATATCAATACGTTTTATTTGATGGGCATGATGCACCAAATTAGCCTGGTCTGTTGCTCCAGCCCACTGCAACTTCGTTGGTCACATAAGTCGCCTCTCTTCCCGCCACCTTTAGTCAGCGGACAGAGTGCATGGAGCAACAGAGCAGTTAGCATTAACTGTTTAAGCACAGAAGCGCTGCCTGATATGCACTAATGCAAAGAACAGAAAAGACACCATCAGGAGGCTCCTCCATAACCATAGATTAACTGTACAGTATAGAGCTGAACTGATGTTTGAAAACAATAATAAACCATTGCAACAATATGCACAATGCACTGTATGCTGTTAAAAACATTATTTAGCAGCATACAGTAGTGTGAGAGGATAGAGATTTAATGGGGAAGTTTCTAGGGCAACATATTAAGCTTGTGGCATCTAGTGGTCTCTTGTGAGAACTACACCATGTTTGAACCCTGGTGATGTACAAGTGGCAGCTTCACCTGCTCTTCTCCTTCTCCTCCAGTGCAGGCAAAACGTACATATCGTCCACCTCCTCTCTTCTCACAGAGGAAATGCTTGGGAATTCCTCTTGACTGTAATAAAAAAACACAAAACAGATGGTTTGTGTACTGTTCTCCTACAATAAAAAGCACCCCTCATGCTACAAATTGACCAACACTGTTCACTGCCACGCCTTTGTCCATTTCCCTCCTGCTTTCCTCCACTCCCCTCTCACCTCCTCTCCCCCAGTGTGGCTCTTATTGCTTGTCTCTTCATGAGGGTCTTGAGAAGTTTCTCATTGGTCTGCTTGGACTCTCTGTTCATCTCCTCCTTCCTCTGTCTCCTTTTGGCCTGATAAAACAGAAGGCAGGTCAGCACTCTTCTCCCACACTGTGACTATCCGGCACACACACCCTCACTACGACCACCCATCCATCTGCCCCTTCTATATTACATTACATTATTGTCATTTAGCACACACTCTTATACAGAGCGACTTACAGTTTTTTTCCATTTATACAGCTGGATATTTACTGAGGCAAGTGTGGGTTAAGTACTTTGCCCAAGGGTACAGCAGCAGCGCGCCAGCAGGGAATCAAACCAGGAACCTTTCGGTTATGAGCCCTACTCCTTGCCACTGTGCTACACTGCTGGTCCTATAGCATATTCATCACCACAGTTGGCCTGGTTGTCAGTCCCTCCATGCAAGCACTCACCACAGTCTCCCTCTTGAGCAGCGGTGTGTCTCCGTCGAAGACGAAGATGGGCCTGATGCGGAAGAAGAGCAGCTTGCAGAGCCGGTGGAAGAGCGTGAGGAGGTGGGCATTCTGCACGCTGTTCCCATCGCGATCCCTCACCCCCTTCACGGCCTGGTTCAGCCAAATACTGATGTCTGCGCAAAGGCTGAGGACTATACACACGCTTTGCACACAGACGCTTTGCACACATATACACTACACATTCACAAGCAGCCACATACACATGCACACTGTACACAGTCACCTCCTGGAATTTGCATGGATGCTATTTAAATAATAAGGTGGATTTTAATGTGACAAAATGCATTTCCATCTGCTTCACTACGTGAGGGATGAGGCAGAGCAAGTAAAAGTAAACACTTCATTAAGTAAACACTATTTGACCATCACCTGCTGAAGGTGCGGTGAAGGTGAAGCATTGCCTTACAGAAACGTCACGTGAAAACAAGATGACTCCAACCCATCCCACTGTTTACTCGGAGCACCTTGACGCAACTGGACATGAATAACGTATTCCCACTCTGTTACCGCCTCTTTAAAAACAATCACGCCCTAGGTGACTACAGCACTCCGACAGAAGGATACCGACAGCCAGAATCTTCCCCTCCAGCGTCTCTGGATTGATGGGCTTCCCTGTGCTCTCAAGCAGCTTCCAAAGTCCTTGCACTCCCATGGCAAGCTGACACCACAACTGCACAACACAGCGTTGTACTAGCCTTGCTTGTTTCGTTTCAAACTAGAGAACATTTGCTTGCCGGCAAGGTATCTGTCTGAGAAGAGTACCGGTAACGATACACACGTTAGTTACACAGTATCTGAAATAACTGCAACCAGCTTTTACTTGCACTACTTACATTTAGCTGAGTTATATCAGTTAACCTATTCAAGAGAAATGCCATTTATAATTACGTGTGCCTTGTACAGTCATATACCTTGCAAGCTAGCTAGCTAACTAGTACACACGCAGTTGTGTGTTCTTATGGGAAGAGTGAGCTTACCCTTTTGCGCGCTGAGTCAACAGCACTCAATGCATATGCGTATAGTAACTATACAGCTACCTGGACCTGGGCACGTCGTGACTTTTGTCAGTGTGTTCTATCATAATAATAATTACATAGATGTCGTGTGAATAATAGCTACTGAGACACAGGATGCGAACCGAGTTTGCTTTGTTAGTGAGCCTAAAAAGATGGCGGCCTATGACGTAAATCTGACACCCCCAAGTTCAATCGTACTTCTCCGCTAAATTTAGCCTAGTCTGTCAACCGCCACCGTGTACCATCTGGCGGAAGCAAGGGGCTGAACTGTGTATCAATATTTATCTTCCTTGCGACAGCACCGTAAAAGTGCGTGCTGATAGTTCCGCTTTTGCGTCATCTCCTGCATGTAGTAGGTTCAACACCCAGACACGAAACATACATGTTTAAAATGTATTTTTGTTTACTGCGATTTGGCATGGAATTGTTGGCTGGATTTCAGTTAGCTAAACTTGCGTCATCATTTACGTAGAGGATCTACCGGCAGCTGACGATTTCCGGTGATACCAAGATGGCGGATATGGCTGTGGACGCGTAACTACCGCAGGGGACGTGTCAACACGGTAATCTTACGGTTTTTATTGACTGTATCAGCAATAATATATTTTTTGCCGCATGATTGATAGATTGCTTATATGCTGGACGTAGCTGTGTATCCGTTTTTTCACTTGAGAATTTAAAAAGTCAGCGTCTCCGTTTAGATCGGAGCATGCCGGTTTCCTCAGATTCAAATAGTTAGATTAACGGATTAATGAGGAATCTAGACGCTTATTTCTCTTCTGGTGGCATTTCTGGCAGCTCATAGCTGGTTTCACTTTAAATTCGTTAAGGTAGCGTAGGGTTTTTCTTAGTGTAGTTAGGAAGGGATGATGTCTTTGTTTACATTTCTGTGCTTCGTTTTATGATAACAAGTGGGCCACAGATGCATCCGAGAGTGTTGGCACTTGTGAACGGAAGTAAAGATGTGAGCTTCATAGTAGTGTAAAAATACCTAATGTTACAACAACATAATTTACCCCTTTTTGTTAGATATGGACAAATGTTTTTTCATGAAATTATGTCTAATTTGTAACATTATAAGAGACACCTGTCATCGGACCTCTAGCCGCTCCATATTCTTGATGGCAGAATCGCTTTTTCTTAAACTACAGGAGTGGAATAGATCCCCTGCAGCACTGCAAACATATCTGGGCTCCCTCCTCTGCCTGCTAAGAACTCTATCATGTCTGTTGCTGTAGACCTCAAAGGTGAGAAGCATAATATTCATCATCATATTGCCACATCATATCATAAAGTAGTTTGAAAAAACTGTTTGTCAGGTCCTAAAGTTTTTTTCTCATCCAGTACTGAGATGCAGTGTAGCACCCACACAGTCATGGCCATCGTGACATTTATGTAACATGGCACTGAACCTCATTATGTTTTAGATGTCTCGTCTCCAGCCGCGGTGCCCGTTCGCGGCCTCGGTGATGGCATGGAGATGGACGAGCCCCCTGTCGCCCAGGAGATCACCGCGGAGCCGCCGGTGAAGGTGTCCACACCCCGTCACGGTCCCTGGGCCTCACCCCCGGGGGTGCTTCATCTGGGCAAGGTGAGCCGGGAGGCCTGTGCGGAGGTGGAGGCGGTGCGCATAGTGGTGCCCCGGTCTGCCATCTCGCACCATGTGCCCAGCAAGAGCGCCCGCTCGGGGGCCGGCGAGGGAAAGGGCGAGGCCCAGCCGCAGCTCGAGGACCCCCCTGCAGACCCCCGCAAGGAGATCCAGGACTGGAGGAGCGCTCTGGACAAGCTGCAGAACTCGGAGCGCAGACTGCTGCAGGACAAGGAAGGGCTCTCCAATCAGCTGCGTGTCCAGACTGAGGTACCTGTTGTGTTATTGCCCCCTTGCCTTACTGCACTTATCTTTTTGTGTGCGTGTTGATTCTAAAGAAGCGGCTAAGGCTTCCAGTGAAAAGTACGGCATTGCCAGAGCTGTAGCTGCTCATGGTAGTATGTTAAAATGTGAACGATAACAATATGAATGACCAATTTCATGTCCTTGTAATGAATTGGTACACATGTACAGTACACTTTGATTTTTGTAAGCAGAAGACAATGATTCAATATGTACTTTTTTCCTGTTTAGTCGGTGGTGTGAATAAATATGGAGGGCACTATATGTACACAGTATCAGGGTGGAGGGATGGATATGTGACTGTAGCTGTGTGCTGCTGTATATGTGTGATAAAGACAGAATGTGTGTACAGGTGTGATGCAGTGGTGCAGGGGTGATACAGATGGCTTTTTTCTTCTGTGCAGGTGAACCGGGAACTGAAAAAGCTACTGGTCGCCTCTGTGGGGGATGACCTACAGTATCACTTTGAACGTCTGGCCCGGGAGAAGAACCAGCTGATCCTGGAGAACGAGGCACTGGGCCTCAACCTGGCCCACACTACAGAGCAGCTGGAGCGCATGAGCATTCAGTGTGATGTCTGGAGGAGCAAGTTCCTCGCCAGCAGGTCTGTACATGCGTGCGTGTGTATATGTGTGCGTGCGTGCGTGAGGCGAATGTGTGTGTGAGGGAGAGCTCACTGGTTCCCTGTTCTCTCTCCAGAGTGATGGCAGAGGAGCTGACCAATGCGAGGGCAGCTCTGCAGCGTCAGACCAGAGAGGCCCAGAGCGCCATCCAGGACCTGCTGAGAGAACGAGAGGAATTCTCCAGGGACATGCTGCAAACACACAGGTAACATGCTTACACAGTAAAGTCCTCATTCTTAAAAGAGAAAGCTTAGAAGGAAATTTAGGAGTGTTCTTACATCCTCCCTTTTCCAACGTGGCGATAATGAACGTGTGCTATGGTCATACAGGTCTTTGGAGCAGCTGCTGGTCTCTCTGCAGTGGGGCAGACAGCAGAGCTACTACCCAAGCGCCCAACCCTTGAGCACAGGTGAGCTGGCTGCAGCCAACCGCAAGCTGGCTGATGCCGTGAACTCGCACCTGCTGGGAAATCTAGGCAGCAGCAGTCTGAAGAGTGATCAGGCCTCTGAGCTCTGCAACACCCCAGCTGAGAAGATGGCAGAGAAGGTAGGGGGCTTCTCTGCTCTTGCAGAAAACAAGTTTTTTTTTTTTTCCTTCAGTATGAGTGTTTGTGACATTGATAACCCTGTTTTACTCCCTCTCAGGTGCTGAGGATTCTGGACCCCATATCTGGCTCAGACAGCAATTTTGTGAGCCCCCTTTCAGACTCCTCCCCCTCTGCCTTTCTGCCCAGTAAGAAAAGCATTGGGCGATTCCACCCCTACACCCGCTATGAAAACATAACCTTCAACTGCTGTGAGCGCTGTAGCGGTGAGCTCATTGTGCTGTAGGTGAGGCCCTAGGCTAAAGGTCATGCATCCTCCTACTGGTGCTGTGCTGTTAGGTGACTAGCGAGTGTACCGCTACGGTCACCTGCTGTCCCCCTTCTTCACCAGCCTCCTTCAGAAGACAGCTCATAAGGGCAAGCACAATACGATGCAAGGTTCAAGACATTTTCTGTAAATAGCAAGGCTTTTACTCTGGAGAGGAGTGAAATTGCACTGCGAGTATGTAAAAGTTTAATCTTGCTGAATTTACTACAGATGACCTCCGTGTATCCTGAATGATGATTGACCCTGGATCTGTAAGATCTGTGTACATGTGTTATACTTGACTACTAGCGATCTGGGCTGCTGTGGTTGTGACAGATGTTATCATGCTTCCCTGGCAGTGCTTCATGGGAGCACCCTCATTGAGAAGGTACTGTGTATTGGAGCTCTTGATGATAATGTCTGGAGTTTTGTAAAATGGCAAAAGTGCAATTTCACCCATAATATACTGTATATAAAGGCAGTATTTTTCCA